GGCTGTTGTGTGGCGTGTCCTCTAAAGACTCTAAATTGTCAAAACATTTGATTAATTTTAAATTCGAGTGTGAGCATTGTTTTTCTGCATGTGCCTTGTGATCTGTTTAAATACTTTGATGGAATTATTTAATTACATTAGAGGGCAAAATATTAGAAACTGCTCTCTGTATGAAGCAAACATGCTCTAGTGGAGCCCAGAGTTAAAAGCAAACATGGTGCATCAGCTTTTAGCTATTATGCCTCACTCAAATGGAATAAACTGCCAACAGAACCAAGTGTTAATGTATTCAAATGCAGATTAAAAAGGATACTTTTTTCCCCCATACCAATGATTAAGATCTTTAGAGGATTTCTATATTCAATGTGCTTCTGGAACTGGTCATTCTTTTTGTACACTGAAAAAAATGGTGTGTTGAATTTCCTAAAGTGGTCACATGAACTAAAATTATCAGAATCCTGATACCTTTTGAAGTACACTATACATCTATTTAAAATGTATCGAAATCCAGATGCTATTCAATTGTGTGTAGCCACTTGACCAAAAAAAAAAAAAACGAGTTCACACACAATGTTGTTTGGTGTCAATTTAGAATATTTATTTTTATTTCTGGGCGGCCCGGTGGTCCAGTGGTTAGCGCGTCAACCTCACAGTACAGAGGCACCGGGTTCAATTCCAGCTCCGGCCTCCCTGAGTGGAGTTTGCATGTTCTCCCCGGGCCTGTGTGGGTTTTCTCCGGGTACTCCGGTTTCCTCCCACATTCCAATAACATGCATGGCAGGCTGATTGAGCACTCTAAATTGTTCCTAGGTGTGAGTGTGAGTGTGAATGGTTGTTCGTCTCTGTGTGCCCTGTGATTGGTTGGCAACCAGTTCGGGGTGTCCCCCGCCGATTGCCCGATGACAGCTGGGATAGGCTCCAGCACACCCCGCGACCCTTGTGAGGATAAAGCGTGTCAGAAAATGGATGGATGGATTTTTATTTGTCTACTTTGCTTTTTGTACTTTTTAAATGTCTTAAATACTTTTTCCTTTAAATGTTGTATTTTGCTTGAAAGAGTCACTGATGTAGTGGTACACTAGCCTGATTTGTGTGCGGGCACCGAGGGTCCAACAATGACGGTGTGCACGTGGGTGTGAATGATTGTGCGTCTCGATACGCTCCCTGCGACTGACTGGCAAAGAGTTCGGGGTTCAGTCTGGCTTCCGCCCCAAATCAGCTGGGATAGCGTCCAACAACCCCCGCGACCCAGTTCAGGATAAACGATGTTGAAAATGGATGAATGGATTTTGCCTTTAAAAGTGGCGTTATGTATGAAACTGTGCTCGATAAAGAAAGCTGATTTTCCTTATAATAAAAAAATATATTGTTAAATACTCTACATGTATGTTCAAATTGCGCAGATTGTCCAAATGATGCTTCAAAATGGTGCGCACTCATTAATTGTGTCAAGTGACAACCCAAAGTTTTTGAAACTTATCTTATAACGATTGGAATTGACCACGATTTGTTCATGTTTCTTATGTGCTCTTGGTCTGCACACGGGGAATACTTTGTAAACGCTAGATCATAACTTGCACTTTTGTGGCGGAGAAGTACCATAGATATGCCGTACGTCATAATACGACAATCACATTATCTGTAGGTGCCGTGACAACAACATTGTATCTTGTAGCTTTCCATTACGCGTGAGGAGGAGAGCAAGTCGCAAATATGTCGACCGTAGATGATGCGAAAGATCACTAACTAGCTTCCTGGTTCCCTTGGCAACGACTAAAGCTTGTCAAGTCTTTTGTGGGGATCATCAGGCGGTTATTTAACCCCTCGAATGACTACAAAAGAAACAAAGCAGCCTGAAAACACCAACCATTTCCATCGGAAAGAAATAAAACCCTAAAACCCCTTATTTGTATTTATTATTATTATTTGGATATATTTTACAATAGCTAATCATAAAGTGTGCAACATATCTTCCAACAAAAATTGAAAGCCACAAATGACAAGCAGTACTGTACGCGAATGTGTTGATAATTCAAGTGGCCACTGAGCGGCGCTGCAGGGTCACAGATTTCCTGTGCTACGGTTACTTCCAAATTGTATTCTGTATGGATTATGTTTATTAACATACAGTATATCAGTTATATTGAGGAATAGTATTTGTATTATTGTTTTAATTAATTTTAATACCTATAACATTATAATACATAACAAATAAATGCATTAAAATACAAAGTTGAGATATAAAACGCGCCATAACTGCACCAGATGAACAATGTACGAATATTGGAGTTTTTCAAAGGACTCAAGTAGGTCTACCTTAAATAAAATTTCGATCTAAAGGTACAAATCCTCCAAAATCATTAGATATTCGGTAACTTAATTTTACTGCGTCATGTTTTATGTTAAAAAATAATTACGTATCAGTTTTTTTCCTGCTTTACATGGATGGATGTAAGCATGGATCCATGGATGGATGGATAGAGAGAGAGAAAGAGAGAGAGAGAGAGAGAGAGAGAGAGAGAGAGAGAGAGAGAGAGAGAGAGAGAGAGAGACAGGCAGGCAGAGACAGAGCGAGAGAGTGAGACTGCTGGGGCACATTAAGAGCTCTTGTGTACCACGAGAAATTATAAAATTTCACTGAATTGGCCATATAACATAATAATGTATCTTTATTCATTTCTATTCCAGCAACATAGAGGCAGACAGAACTACTTCATAATCTTCTATTAGATGGCAGAAAGTACGTGATGATAAGATAGATAGATAGATAGATAGATAGATAGATAGATAGATAGATAGATAGATAGATAGATAGATAGATAGATAGATAGATAGATAGATAGATAGATAGATAGATAGATAGATAGATAGATAGATGTGCTCACCACGCTGCCTGTTCTCAACTCCGTGACCTTCACAATTTTTGGAGAGGAACCCCGGAGAATCAAGTCATTTCTACAACATTCTGACGCTGCCCACACGTTCCACCTGAGAAGATACTCATTTGTATGTCTGTTTTCATGTATCATGTAGCAAAAAAAAAAAAAAAAAAAAACCTGACTATATCGACTGTGAAACTAATTGTCGAATGTTGGTGGCAATTAAGCACAATGTGTATCTAATGGGGTTAATTTTTAACAAACATTTTTTATGGCAAATTAAGCTTTAAGTGTTGAACCATTCCAACATTACAGGCAATAATTTAGGCAACTGGTCATTTAAATTACTGCCGTTCCTGCTGGAATAATGTGAAACAGTTTGGTTGGAGGTGAGTGTTTATAGGTCTGCGCGCAATGATGCTAATAAATAAAAAAAACTATGGCAGAGTAAAAAAAAAATAATAATCGGAGCAGACTTCAGCATGCGGTTTTCTTCTTTTTTTAGAAGACTTGGACGAATTAGCAATTCTGCTCCACGCGTGAATTGAATACAGATGTATTTCCAAAAGGACACACTGAAAGATCTAAATGCTGATGACTTGTAAACCCGTGCTGTATAATTGAATAGGTATTCAATAATAGTGCGCCGAAATCGACCTTATCAGGACCTAATAATTAATTGGCCCTACTTAATATTCACGTCGCGTGGTGTAACACGGCCTTTACGTTGTTGCTTAAGAGCATAGATAAAATATTAATCGGGGTAATTATTTCTTATGACACGCGCAGCAACGACTTCCTGTCGGAGGTTGATTGAAATATTAGCAGCCATTTGGTGTTAAAAAGTTTGCTTTGCGCGAGATATACCCCCAGATCACTGACAAAGTCGTGTTAGGAGCAAAGCGGTGTGACACAGCCCCTCGATTATTGGGTTCCCAGGGCCTCACCAGCACGCACCCACGCAAGCGCGCACACACCGCTGCCAACATAGGCTTGGGGAGCCATGAAAAAGCCAAAGCTGTCGCAAAATAGGCGGATCAAAACCCATTATGAGATTTGAAGCGTGGTTTTGTGTCGGGCCCGCTTGAATCTCTCACCAGATTGGCGTATTTGTGCACAAGCAAGGCATGCTCGTGCGTGCAAAATGATCATGTGGCAGGCAGCGCAGTGTGCTGTTGGCAAGTTGGCTGACTGCTCTCAAGTGGAAATGGACAAAAAGCGCAAGCAACAATTACAGTATATGGATTTCACCTTGTGGTGAAACATCTCGTTGAAAATTAGTAGCGAATACCGTCAATGATTCGAAAGCGGTAGAGGGAAATAAAGTTTTGCATGACTCCCATATAGGACGTGCCACATCTCCAGTAACGGAGACAAAGAAGTGTTGCGATGTGATCATTGAATTCGGTTGCTAAGCAACTCGTGTGGGAATTCATCCGCGAAATTCAAACCGTACGTCGCAAGGATACGTTCTGTGAGTTCTGACGAACGGCGAGATTGAAAAGTTTTTAAAAAACTAATTTAAAAAAACAAGCCACCAAGATACATGACTCACGATACCATTGCTGCTCACACGTGTCATATTTTGCACTACATGAAAACAAACGCGGGTCCCTGAATTAATCTGAATTTGGCCTGCAGCAGTTGAAATTTATCACCGACCTCAATAATAAATACAGCACATCTCCACGTTCGATTGAAAGCTGGAGAGAAAGCACCCGATTAATACACCCTTTATTCATAAGAAAGCGTCCTGACACGTCCACACACATTCTTATTTCATCCAAGGGAATCCTCCCATTTTCCCCAAACTGTGCAAACTCCAAATGGGCCACATGGACAAGTTGGGATGTTATTGAGCCTGAAGAGGCTCAACGTGTAAACAAACGACTGCATTGCTTGGTTTCAACGCTGCTGCATCAACGCCAACATTGATGCAATTATTTTGGCGAATGTGTTTTATCGAAATTCGACATTTTTAGTATATTTCACATTCCAAAATGCTGATCAGCAACATTGCACGTTTACGTGTTTATCCAAGAAAATAAACATCTCCAATAATAATAATAATAATAATAACAATAATAACAATAATAACGTAAATTTAACACACAACATGGCTCAATTTCATTCTAACAAATTTATTGTGTCTCAATCAGCTCGTACGGAACCACTACTGAAATTAAATTACAATCAAATGATCACATCAAAATATACCAACACGGCAGCTTGTGATAATTTGTGCTCCTCCAGAATAAAAAACAAACAATAAAAAATAAGAAGAAGAAAGAGAAAATATAACAAGAAAGCATCTCACACAAGTCCATGGGGGAGGGGGGAAATAAATTACTGTCTGGAATAATTCATAGATATTCCGAATAAAATATTAAAACAAAACTCATTCTGAAGAAAAATATAAAGTAAATAATTACGATCAGTATCTGATCTAGTGATCTATATTGCCGGCTTTACAGAGTTGTTTATTAAAACCTACCAAAGACTACTGCTTAGAAAGGGCAGCATTATATGTCCACAGTACCCACTCCCCCTTGGCAAAACATTTTTAGATTTTTTTCCCCCTCGTCAAATAAGTGTAGCTGAAGTTTTTATTGAATGTCTCTTTTTGTTGCAATATAGAAACGGAGAAAAGAAGAATCCACCACGACGACAACGTCCATTAAATAAAAAGAAAAAGAAATGCCAGCAAAGCAGAAATGATCTTTGAGATCAGACGAGTTTGGGGAGCAGTCCACTTCCGGTCTTTTTTTTTTTTTTGTCGTGGAAAAAAATCCCTGATCCTTCGAATGTGGGTGACAAATACAACACGAAAGCTTGGTGGATGTCGTTCGACTGGTTTGAAAGCGGGACAGTCCTCGTGGAAATGTGTACAAAAAAGCTGGGCCCTTTGTCTCCATCACACAGGACAGTGGTCGTTGTTTTGGAGGGTGAGCGCAGGGGGACGGAAAGGGGGGGGCATCAAAACAACACTTTGTAATGGTGGTATGATGTGTGTTGTGGGGGGGGGGGCATCTTGATGTGTCTCAATGCGCCAAAATTACCTGGTGGAATGAACTTGTGGTTGTCACCCTCTGGTCGCTCGCCTCACTTGCATCTTTTAAGTAATCTACTAAAAAATGCCCCTGAAAGAAACAAGCAGAAGGAACCTTTTAGGTTAAGACATTTCAGGGCCCTGAAGAAGATGCGTTTGTTCTGAAGGGGGTTGGGAGGAAAGTGGTTCAAGGTTCTCTTTGTTTTTTTTCTCTCTCTCTGCTGAAAAATAGATATCACATTTGGTTGGTTGTTTTTTTTTTTTTTGCAGTCTCATTCACATTCCCTCACAATCACAGAATCAAAATGCTGCTATCCTGGCGATAGTCTGCATGTGTGTTTTTGCGTAATCAGTCTAATTGTGTATAAAATATTCTGCTGTGCTGCTCTATGTTTCACTGAACATTCGTTTGCAGTCCATGGAGGGGGGCGGTGTTTCTGCACTCACATTGCCGACCTGAGAGTACACATCCTCCGGCGTCTGCGCCACTCCGGGAGGCGTCATCCGCTTTTCCTTCTGTCTCCTATTGCAAAACCACACTCGGACCACCTCCTTCTCCAGCTGCAGGTTGTCCGCCAGGGTGCTGATTTCCTGGGCCGAGGGCTTGGGACACTTGAGGAAGTGGCTCTCCAGGGCCCCCTTGACGCTCACCTCGATGGACGTGCGCTTCTTTCTCTTCCTCCCCTGCGCGGCGATCTTGTCGATGCTGGTGGGGCTGCCGGTGGAAGAGTCGGCCTCCTCCAGCCACTTGTTCAGCAGCGGCTTGAGCTTACACATGTTTTTGAAACTGAGCTGCAGGGCCTCGAACCTGCAGATGGTCGTCTGCGAGAAGACGTTGCCGTAGAGGGTGCCCAGCGCCAGGCCCACGTCCGCCTGCGTGAAGCCCAGCTTGATCCTCCGCTGCTTGAACTGCTTGGCAAACTGCTCCAAGTCGTCCGAGGTCGGCGTGTCGTCGTCCGAGTGCGGGTCGTGGCTGTTGACGCCGCCGTGATGCTGGTGGTGCGGATGATGCTGATGATGGTGGTGGTGGTGCGCGCCGTGGTCCAGATCCGGGGTGTCGCCCCTCACCAAGCCCGGGTGCACCAGGCTTTGGCTCCCGGGGCTGAGCATGCCATTCACAGTGAAGCCCCCCGGCTGAGAGTAGATGAGCGACTGCTGCTGTTGCTGCTGCTGCCCACCCGATATGGAGTTAATGTGCGCCGCGGTGCTGCTGCCCCAAGCCCCGGCATGAGTCTGGTGGGCCGCTAAGTGAGGCGGCACCGGCGGCCGGTGGTGCAGCGCGGTGCCGGTGTGCAGGTCGTCTCTGGCCGAGTTTTTCACGTCTTGCTGCTGCGGACTGGCGCTCATGCCGACCGGGCTCGACGACCAGGGGGAGCCGGCTTCGGCGGCGGCCACCGCGGCGGCCGCTGCTGCGGCGGCGGCATGCGGGAGAGAGGTCACCCACTGGTGGGCATGGCTCAGCATGTGTCCCCCGTTGCTCGCTGCCATTGCGCCTTGCATAAAGTCACTTTGCACCATCTTGATCGAGGGGTCTCCTCTGTAGCCCCCAGAGCCCGAGGTAACAGCAGCACTTCCCGGCTGCATGCCGCCGCCTCCCGAGTCAGAGTGCACGATGGAGCCCGACGATAGGATGCTATTGCTGCCCAGATACGGATTGGAAGCCGCGGTGGCCATTCCGTCAAGCCTTATGAATATGATGGTGGTTCGCCCCCTCCCTTTCTTCAGTCACTTCTTTCGTGTGGGCAAATTATAGCTCATGAATTATTCAAACTTCTAAAAGTATGTCTTGCCACACACAATACGTGCGTAAAAACGCCAAGTAGACGTTTTGGGAAAACTGAATAAAATCCGCGTGCATTTACAGCATTTGGGCAGCTGTGCGTGGAGATGGACGAATTCAAAGTCCCGCTTTTCAAAAGTCCTTTTAAAACATGTGCGGTCCGTGTCCAAAGTTTGGCGGGTGAAAATGTGGACATTAAATTTTCAATTATGAATTGGAAAAAGGATCGTCTCAAACAAAGTTTTGGTGGTCAAGAAAAAAGGCTTGCAAATTGTCCACCGAGTCCCAGTTTATGTTCCCTTTGGATGATAAAAAACATCGGCGAAGTCCTTTTGTAATTCAGTCAGATTTCTCCTTCGCTTTATTCTTTCTCTCTCTTCTTTTATAGCAGTGAGAAGTCTTTCTCTTTGTTCCGTTTTGATATATTTAAACCTGCCAAACCGCAAACTCCAGTTGAAGTACAATCCGTAGGAACAGTGGAAGGCGCTGCTCACCAGCCTCCTCTCTCATTCGCTTGTTCTCCCTTTCCTCCTCTCTCTCCCCGGCTGGCGGTCAAGTCCCGCCCCCCTCCCGCCCTCAACCACCGTATCCCCGGAGCACGAGGACTCGCGGATGTTTACCCCATTCCTCTCCACTGATTGGTTGCCGGCGCAATGATTGGCAGGCACGAGCAGACTCGCTGCGGGCTCACGAAATCTCTTTCCGGGTGTTGCAATTGGTTTATTCTTCATTGCAGCCCCAACAAAACCAGAGTAGTAAATAAAGTGTGAGCTCTTCTTGTGTTTGTACAAAATATATCGACGATTTCCAATCAATTACACCTGCACCACCACTGTAACCTATAAATCAAAACCTTCCCTCGTACCGCCCCAGCGCAAGAGCAGTATTTAAAAATACATTTTACGAAAATAATGCTCAATTTTCAAAGTATTAATTGAATAACATGTTTTGTCTAAATGATATTCAGAGTGAGATATTTTCAAATTCTGTTATTTTGCCACACATCTTGTTCAATAAAATATTTTGTGCATGTAAATATAGGTATAGTATTAATTAATGTTAACACATGTTTATTTCTTGTTCTACCAACTACAAGTTTTTATTATTACGTTGATTGGGGAAATAAAACCGATTTTTATCTACTTTTGACACGTGTCTGCTTCACTAATAGGATGAGAGTTTACTCAAACCATTAACAATTCTAATGATCTCTTCAGTTAGCCTGATTGCATAATAGAAGAAAGAATCAACATAGGCTTTTTAATTCCTGATGGCCAAGGCATGCATTGAAGAGACTCTTGAGCAAACCTAAATTGCATAATCAAAAAGTTAAAAAGTTAAAATGTGCTGCATTGTGCAAACAAACTATCAGAATTGTTACAATCAACCTAATTTCCTTTTAGCATATGTTAAACAATTAATTGGATTCTCTTTGTGTGGAGCCAAACGTCTAACAAGGCTTGTGTGTCTGTCTTCAATCCATTCCACCAAATCAAATAGAAAACGTACTTATTAGTATGAAAGCTGTCCATGCTTTCCCTGCACCCATGTTTGCGGTGGGAAGTGCTTCTGTTCGCGACTGGGTAGCAAAGAGTGTCTAGTCTGCCAACTAAAAGCAGCATGGGGAAAATAATGTGAAGGAGGGGCTTTCATTCATTTATTATATAATCATCATAAATCATTTAATTTCCTTCATTTTGGTAGAGAGAGCCCCTGTCATGGTTCATTATCCAATACCAAGCCCTTCTAATTGAATGTCCTTACAGCTGTTACTCCATTCCATGTTTTCTATATGACCACGTTCGTTCCTGAATCAGCGGCTACGTATTAGCATCCAGTGGGGTACATTTGATATTATATTGTATCTTGCTATAGCAGACAGGGCCGATTAAAAGAATCTAAACAATCATGGACGCATGAAAGTTTTGGAAGAAAGTAAGCCTTCATTATTGATGATAGCAAAAATTGCACCCGCCTCAGCTGACACCAGAAAGTCCCAGAATAGCTTGTCAATTAGTTTGCAATGCACTTGAAGCGATACAAAAGGAAGAAGCGAGTTTTACAGCAAACTTTATGCTTGAATTCACCCTATGAAGTTGGAGTTGAGCTCATTCTCATATGGGTGTCATAAGTGGATGAGTATAATGCTGACAATAATAATAATAATAATAATAATAATAATAATAATAAAAATAATAATAATAATAATTATTATTATTGTTATTCTTATTATTATTACTACTACTACTATTCCTATTATTATTATTATTATTATTATTAGTAGTATTATTATTATTACACTTGACGAATAATAATAACTCATCCAGCAATGTTGAATTGTGGAAATAGGTATGGATGAGTAGAGAAAGCAACAATGGAGCAACATCTTGAAACGTGAGTCTAAAGGAGTTCAATTCACAGGAAAAAATGAATACATTTCCAGACAGTCTAGTAATCACATAAAACTCAATATGGATTTCAGATTGTGATTGTGTCAATGTCAAGGTGCATGTCAGTCAAGGTGCTGCATTTATGACATAACTTCAAAAAAGAACAATGAACAGAAAATGCATTCAGATAATTAGATCAATCTGAATCAATCAATCATGAAAAGTACAATATTTGAAAGAAAAAAAACCCCTGCAAAGAACTGAAGACGCTTAAAAAAAGTACAGAAATAAACATTTATATTTTAGAAATTACTAAAACTACCCACAAGAAATAAAAATAAAAATTACAAGGCAAGCAAAAGAATTTGTGGAAAAAAATGAAAAATTTCAGTCATATATAGGCATAGGGAAAAGCACGTACCTTTCAACCTGTAGCTGTTAATTTAGTTTTAATTAATTTCTCAAAGGTAAAATGTTCATTTTAATCAAAGATACTTAAATGAACAACAAAGCTGGTGCTTGACTCAGACTTCTACACAATCCTGTACATCAATGTTTTTTCACAAAAAGGTGAAGACAAACAGCCAAAAGCAGTCTTTAAAGCAAGGGTGTTCAAACTTTTTCTTCCAAGGGCCACATATAGACTAATCGCAGGGGAAGGAACACAAGGGCAATTCTTCACCTTTAATTTATTACACAAGCAAAATCCAATCCATCAAAAATTTATCTTTGTGTGTGTGTGTGTGTGTGTGTGTGTGTGTGTGTGTATGTGTGTGTGTGTGTGTATTTATTAAAAAAAATAATAAGTCTCAACTATCTAAAAACTGAAAAAGCAAATAGTTTGGCCCCCATAACCCACGAGAATAGATCCACCCCTGCATTGAGCAGATCTCCACTTTCAGGACCAAAACAAGAACTGACAAATTTTCAAGGATTCTTATTGTTCACAAATTGCAACGTAACATGGAGCGAATATTTGAAGTTGTTTGTTATTTCTTGTATAAGCTATAAATTATTTGAAGTTATGATTTTTTTGAAATATTAATTTAGTTGGAAAAAAGTTTCTTGCACCTTTGCATTTCTGGAAAAGCTCGACAGGAAACCCATTTAACATTATTAGTTGTCGGGCATACTTTTGTTGTGTGTGTGTGTGTGTGTGTGTGTGTGTGTGTGTGTGCGTGCATGTATATATATATATGCTAAAATTGGGCCACAAGTGGCCCCCAAACTCTAGTTTGGACACGCCTCCTTTAAAGGCTGCAACACAGCCACACCCTCTCAAGGTGAGCATGAGAATTCTTAATTTTCTCAAAGAACCCCCCAACAGGTTGGGTGTCTGCATCTGCATCCCACAGCGCCCAGTTTGCCCATCTGCCAGGTGAAGTCCACCAAGCCAGCCGGATTTGTGGAACATGTTATGCATTAACCCCGAACACTCTCTCCAAAGCTCCCTGAATCAAAGATGACGCAACAAGGGATGCTAAAAAAGGGATTTAAAGGGGCAAATATAAGACTGCAAAGGGCCTCTGTAGTCCATGCCAGTGACACCCCCTACTCCCCATCCATCCCAGTAGATTTAATTTGGACCGGGCTCAAAAACGGAGTGCGCCTCATGCATTTGTTTACATTGAATAGGCAGGCTCAGGGGCAGAACCATGGGGCCCACTATTCATTAATATACATTGAGGATTTCAGTCCAAATTACTGATGTTCTGTGCACACGGCGCCTTTTAAGTGCGTCTAGGGCAGCCACCAAGAACGTGCCACCACATACAAAATACAACTCAGCGCATATACAAAAACACAGCAGTCAAAAGGCCACTATCTGATATATGATGTGTTGATTTATTTGTTTAGTATAAAAGGCCCCCAAGTTCCCTGCTGGGGGACTCGGTTTTATCATGCAAAAAGAAAAAAAAAGAAAGGCAGGAGAGAGGGGGAAAAAAAATCAACCCCAAGTATAACAAGAGACGAACAGTTAGTGCTGATTTTCATTTGCATAAATTTTCATATATTTTAGCGAAAATAATAGCGGGAGCAGAGGAGAGCTGGTGCTCAGTTGAGGCAGAGGAAAGAAAATCTTCGGGAGCAGCAGCCAGTCGCAGAGAAAGGAGATAAGCATTTCCACAAGTGGACAATCTTGGTGCACTTTCCTGGACATGACATGAGGTAAACCCTGCATGCACAGCTCGTAGTGGCTTTTCCGCGCGGGGAACATTTAATTTAGAGAACGTTCGGTCTGACATTTGCTCCTTTAAAGCGCCTTTCAGCTTGTTCGGAAACATACGGACTCATTTGGTCACATGTTGAAAAAGGGAGTGTCTTTATACCGAGTGCGTAAAAATCAATCGCTTTTGCGCCTCAGCCTGGTTGCTTTTGTACAAAGAGCAGGCAGATGGCTATGCTGCGCAGTTTTGTGTCGAACCTGGAGCGGAGGCAGGGGCCATCAATCACATTTTAAGCAGGGGGAGAGAGCCACATCCCCGGAACAATATTCCGCTGGGAGCGCAGAGGCAAGTGCCCTGTTTCACATAAATGGGTGAAGTTTGTTTATAGTTCCCCCCACCCCCCTTTTCTTCTTCATTTTTTCCCTCACCTTAAACCCGGTGGGGACTGTTGTTCTTGTTGCTAGTGAGTGCAACATCATATTTAAAGGGAGCCAAAGATATTTGATTCCGATGTTCGTGTGAGCACTTTGAACCCGAATGTGAGCAGAGGTCTTGCAGCTCTTCGTTCTCACGGGTTAACTCCTCTTCCTCCCACTCCATTGATGGAGCAGCGCATTTCTGAGCCCTGCGCTCGGTCGCCATGGTGAGCCCCATAAAAAGGGGAACAGTGGTCGCATTAAGCTGTATGTTTGTGCACTGGAGTCGAGAAGAAAAATGTCTCGGTGTCCTGACGCACCTTGAACTGTGCAGTAACGCGTCACAGAAACGAAGGGAGGGAAAATAAATTATCATTTGTATACCGTTAACTATTCAAGGATTTATGAGAATAAGCTTCATGCCATGGAAAGAGTGCTTGTAATTTAATCGTATTTAATGAAATGATTTAAAAATTATCATTGCCGTTGCACAACAGAAAAGTAAGATGGCAATTGTTATAATTAAGGCAAAGTAGTTTGAAAGTGTCAT